CAGCCATAAAATGAGGACAACCACACAACACTGAGAATCATGGCCTAGTCAAATTGATACACACATTTTTGGGGGGACACAATTCAATCCATGACATTCCACCTTTTGGCCCCCCAAAATCACATCCTTGCAACATGCAAAACATATTCATCTCATCATATCATAGCAAAAGTCTTAACTCCAAGTCAAAAATCTGAAAATTCCTATTCATCTGTGAAATCTAGAATAATAGTTATCTGCTTCCAAAGTACAAGGGCACAACAGGCACAAGCTAGACATTTCCATTACAAATGGGAGAAACTAGAGGAAAAGAAGGGATAACAGGCACTAAGCAAGTCAGCAGAACACATTACATTAGCCCTCAAGGCTTTGAAAATAATCCTTTGTTCTCTGAGACAGTTTATACAAGGCCCTGCCCTCCAGACTCTAGGTATTGATCACACTCTCCAGATTCTGAGTGGAGGCCCCTTGGCCCTGGGCTTAAGCTCCGCTTTCCAGGCCCGCTGGGACAGCAACTCTGCTCCCCTTGGCTTCAGGCGACTCTACCCTTAGAAACACCAGAGGCCATGGCTCCACCCTTTGAAACCCCTGAGGTCATGGCCATACCTTTTGAGACTGAGGCATCTCGGGCTTCTTGTGCTCCTTGTCTCTTCAGCTTCTGCTTTCTGTGGCCTTTCCGCCTTTGGGCCAAAAGTGTTCCAAAGCTGGGTAGCTCCACGAATAAGTGCCCGGAAGCACCCCACTCTGCCAGGAAGCCTCCTGTGCACAGGCACTCGGCCCTCTCGCTCCGTGGGTCGGTTCCAGCGCCATCTTGCACTGGTCTCCTGGTTCTGCTGCTGTTGGTTCTCTGCCACTGCTGCTCTTCTATCCATTCACAGTTTCAAAACCACTTCCACGTTTTAGGTATCTGTTAGAGCAATACCCCACTCTCTCGGTACCAAGTTCTTAGTCATCTAGTGCTGCTCTGACAGAAATACCACAAGTTTTAACGAAGAGAAATTTATTCTCTCACAGTCCAGTAGACTACCAGTCCAAATTCAGGGCATGAGCTCCAGGAGAATTCAGTCCATATATTCAATATATGACCTGATTCGGTATAAACTAAAGAGGTGAGTAGTCTTGAAGAACGTGTGTGATTCTGATGAGAAGAAAGGTGAACTAAAATAATTTTTTAGGATGAGAGGACACTACCAAAGACACTGTAGAAATGACTGAAGCATGCTTAGAGGACTGGGCAGAAAAGCCCATTGTTGGATGGAGCACATCGGGGAAACGGGAGATAAGTATAAGGCAATAGCCAGTACTGGTAAGAGCTGTGTCAAGTTAAAATTCTAGCTTCTCTGCTTACTAGTTCGGTGAACCTTGGGCAAGTTATTTAACTTGTCTATAAAAGGGGCTAATAGAACCTCTCAAGTTTTTTATGAGAATTACATCAGTTAATATACATGCTTTCAACAGGCTAGCGTGATAAATGTTAGCTATTATTATTTTGATTAGGTAAAATGAGGCAGATTTTGGAGTACGGTACTCCAAAATATAATATTATATTTTGTGTTCCTAAAGGCACTGCCAGAATTACACAAGTAAAAACTACAGGATTTATGGGAATATGGAATTAGGGGTACAACACTCAAAAACTTCATCGGTTAAATAAGTTAGTAACCTGGTAAATACATCAGTCACGTTGGAACAAATTCACATTTTCAAACAAGGGTTACGTAGCAAACTGATTGTATCTCATTGAGCAGACTGAAGAATTTGATCCAGGAGGCAGTGGAGACTATTGTAAATAAAAATGCAGTAAGGGACAACATAAATATTCAAGAAAGGGTCATGTTCTAGGAGTGTAAAATCCACTGAGAAGGGGAAAATCTTTGCATTCCCCAGCCCATTACCTCTTTTACGGCATTGTCACATTTTATCTTTATTATAGTCAGCAGTGGCTATTGTTGTTAGTAATTGCTGCGTGTAGTATCTAGTAATTCTGGGAAACTGGTGGGAAGCAAAGGATATTTACCTCTTTATTTTCATACATTTCTGTTGCCCAGTTTAACAGTGTCTAACTCTAGAATGTGTTTTGAGATCAGTCACATTTTATAATTTCAACACTCCTCCACTTAACTAATCGGCTGTTTTCTAGCAGGTTTGTAATTTGTTGTTGTTAATTCTAATTGCTTGGAACTGGAAATATTTTTTCCCCAGTAGTTGTTTGCTGCAGGGCTCAGTGTATGAGATATTCACTGTATATGTGGTGGGTTCTCATTTCAGCCCCTCAATTCATATTTAATTCATGCTAGTGAACCTGACATAACACAGTGTATAAAAGATCTCTGTGGGGAAATACGTTGTGTGTTCTGCTGATTCCAGGAACATGTTTCACCAAAAGAGGTTGGATCCTCTTTGATCAGTCTCTCCTTAGTCTCCACCACCTGTCTTTTTCCATTTAGATCTTACAGAAAAGATAGACATGCATATCTTTGTGCATCATAGGAATATTTGGAAACAGCAAGTGGCATGGTAAAATGGGAAGAAGAGGAGTTTTTGTGTGTGTTTATGGAGTTCCTGGGTGATGCAGACAGTTAATACACTCAGCTGCTAACCAAAAGGTTGGAGGTTTGAGTCCACCCAGAGAGGCACCTCAGAAGAAAGGCCTGGCAATCTTCTGAAAAATCAGCCATTGAAAACCCTAAGGAGCACAGTTCTACTCTGATGCACATGGGGTTGCCATTAATCAGAGTTGACTCAACAGCAGTTGGTATGGAGGAGGAGGGAGGCTTGGTAATCTAAACCAGTGTGATTATCTCTAGGGGTGGTAGTAGAAGGAAGAAGGGGCCATGTCATGCTTGTCATCTTATGTTCTAGACTGAAATTAGGGAATTGCGTTTTTGGTTTTAATGTGAAAAGTGAGTCTGTATGATAGGAAAAAGCCAAAGCTGGGGTAAAAGGAGACTTTCAGTGTTTGCCTCCCACTCCTGGGTGTTGTATATGGACATTTAAGGGTGAGGTAAATCAGGTGAGTGAAGACCAAAGAAGGGCTTCTTGATTTGGAAACCTGCCAAAATCCTTCAGGTTTAGAAGGAGCTAATCTGGAAAAGGGAGTAGCCTAACATGAAACACCTTCTGTGCTCCAGGACTGTAATAGATGCTTTACATATATTAATCCCCACAGTGAGTCCAGAAGGGAGATGTTAGTATCCCAAGTATAGTTGAGGAAATTGAGGATTAGATGAATTACCAAACTGATGCACTCAACTCAAATCCAGGTTTGTCCTCCTCTGAAGGGCATGCTTTTTATGTCATACCATGGTGCCTAACAATTATGCATCTAATAATGTTGGTAATGGAGTAAATAGACATCAGTAAATTTATTATGTTGTTGGTTCCTGGCAAAGCTTAGCCTCTCAATAATTGTTGGCTTTTTTCCTCTACAAAATACTTATCATAAACCACAATTACGAAAGTTTAAGCCATTCTTTATAAAGATATTACATAAATAATATTCTGACTCTTTGGCTGTATAAGAGGTTAATATGACTTTTGAACAAGATTGAGCAAATGAGTCACATTTTCTCATCCTTTCTCTGATCTGCCAGACAAAATATTAGAACAAGATAACCTAAAAGACATGACTAGGATTGTATATTTAAAAAAATATCTCTGTAGGTCAGAAAATAAAACCACAGTAAGCAGTGAGTGGAAGCAATGCTAGGGAGCTGCTGCGTTTAGTGGTGGCTAAGCTCATTAGCTTTAAAAAAAATATATGGCTCACCCTACCAGCTTTAAAGGCTGTAATTAAAACTGTGGTACTAGTACAAGAGTAGTTAGATTAATGAACAGAATAGAAAATCTAAAAATAAAATATCTTAATATGGAAGTTTAGTCCATGATGAAGATGATTAGGGAGAAGATAAACTTTTACATAAGTGGTATTGTACATAATGAATAATCAGTCATAAGGAACAGGATGAAATTAGATCAATTAGATCATTCATGTGATACACTAGGATAAATTCCAAAGGGATCAGGTTGAAAAAAAAAACTTCCATCTACTTACTGAGGTTACTACAATCCACGGTTTGATCAGCGTTCAATCAGTGACAGAATTTCACTAGTATAAGAATCCTGTCCATTTCTAACCATAATGTATTACAGGTTCAACAGCAACAAAAATACACACACACACACACACGCAGACTACCTGGGCTGTATGCTGGAGGCACAATGGTGGTTGAATAAGACAAGTGTTGGCCATCCAGATGCTTGGAGACTTTTATTTGATTTTCTTGGGCAGGCATCAGGTTGTTTTAATACATTTGCTTTATTAGGGGTCCCATTTGGTTTTACGGGGCTGTCCACTCCCAGGCTGAATGGTGAACCTCGGAGATAACTTCACCACTGAGTTAAAAGGGTGTCTGTGGGACATACTCTTGGGGTTTCTCCAGTCTCCTTTAGGCCAGTAAATCTGGTCTTTTTTTTGTGAGTTAGAATTATGTTCTACATCCTTCTCCAGCTCTATATAGTTTTTTAAAATAAGTAATTCATATTACATTGTTCAAAATTCAAAAGTTACAAAAAAGTGTCCGTAACACAGTTCATTAGTCGCCCAGTTTCCCAGCCCAAGAGCCAACAGATGTCAGTTGCTTCTTGGATATCCTTCAGTTCATATTCTCTGCATATGTAATATTTATTTCCCTTTTTATACACTTTCTGTTCTGCACTTTGCTTCCCCCCCCCAATGTGTCTTAAAAATTGTTCCATTTCATTGCACGTTAGAGCTACTTCTCTCTCTTTTTTTTTTAAGACTGCTTAGCATACCGTATGGTAACAACAGTAATAATAAGTTAATGTAGCATTGTACTACTGATGGATTTTCAGGTTGTTTTCTGTCTTTTACTACAAACAAAGCTACACTGAATGTCCCTCATTGCTTTTGAATAACTAAATCATCCTTTTATCTTTATTAACTAGTTTTTTAGTACAGATCTCTTGTTTCATTTCAGCCATCAATCAGAGAATCAGTCAGAGTGCTCCAGTGAAGCAGCCTCCACCCCTGGCTCCCCAGAGCCCACCAGGAGGAGTCATGGGAGGCAGCAACTCCAACCAGCAGCAGCAGATGAGACTGCAGCAACTGCAGATGGAGAAAGAGAGACTTCGACTGAAGCAGCAAGAACTGCTTCGGCAGGTGAGGCCACAGGTTAGAAACCAGCCTTCCACTTTTGGGGGTTTGTTTTCCTAACATGAAATTGGGCATATTTCATCTTTGCATTTAGTACTTCTTGAGGAATGTTGTCTCTCTAAAACTAGAGTGACACAGAAACATTCTGTCCAGCTCTGCCCTTGCCTTAGTTTCTTGACTGGCCTTTATTACCTGGGATGTAATTTGTAAACCTGTATCACAAAAGAGAGATTTTAGCCATGACCATTACAGTTGAACAGAAACTGAAGGAAGTAAGGCTGCTTTTTCAAAAGTACGTGGAATTGTAGATTGCGTTTTCTGAGGATTCCTATAAAGGATATCACTTGGGGGAAGACATCTTTTACTTTAATTATTCATGTGGGGGATACACTAATATGACATATCCCCAAAATTTCTAACATCTTTCAGTATTGCTGAGCCTAAGATGCTTTATTTAACACATAGTAAAAGTTATTATCCCAAGTTTAAAAGATCCCAGAGTACTTTAAAATTACCTGCTTATGGATATTTTTTCATGTTGGGAAGAGTGGAAACTAACAGTAAAGAGCTTGAGGCCCTTTACCACCATTTCTATCAGTTTTCTTTCAGAAAGTACTGTTGGTCTTCGTGCTCCACAAAAACAGATAGATAATCCCTCATCTCAAAGTCAAACTGTAGTTTTTCTTGTTTCAGAGTGGTAGAGTGTAAGTTCAGCTATTGGGAATGTGATCTGAAGACGTATATTTTAAATTTTTATATAAAAATTTTCTGACTAGGTAATAAAAACAAAATACAATATTCAAAGTTTATAAAAAGTGAAAATAAAATCTCCTTTTCCTGTTTCCCTGATCCCCTTCCCTGGATGTAAACAACTATTAACTGTTTCTTACATACTTTTTCAAAGATTTTACCAATTTAAAAACAAAATTCATGTATAATAGATGTTATGTGCTGTTTTTCCTCCTAAATGGTAGCATACTAAGTGTAGACATTAAAAAGCCATTATAGTCTATAGTCTACATTTCTGTTACCAGGATGTGAGCATTTAAACAATGTACTTTAAAAAAAAAAGAAAATAGAGCTGCATTTTAAAAGAGTCACTTGAGTGTCAGTGAAAAGACTTGAACTTGATACCATCTTTGAACTCTAATTTGGGATTTGAGGAACGGGTACCTAAAGAATTAAACTAAGCCAGGGAGTCCCAGACAGACTCATCTCTGAACTGTTTATGCTGTCAGTAATGCGTCAGTGTAATTCTAGTGTGGTTGGCATCAAAAGTGAGCCCTGGCAAGAGTAAGAGAATTTGTGCCAACATATGATGTCAGGAAGCGGTCTTAGAAGAAGTGTTTCTTCATCTGCCGTTAAGAAGGCAGAGGGAGAAAGCATATTAACAGTTTCATGTACCTCTAACTGACTTTCTAACAAAGTACAATAAAGGAAAGATTTTTTTACTTAAATAACACTGTGTTGATAGAACAAGGTAGCACCATCAGGAATAAAATTATGTAGCTATTAGAAGAAATAAAACTATTTAGGAGTATGTTTTACGTAGCATGTTTTCATTGTTTGCTTTTCATTTCGTTGTTACTAAGTCCTAGATGTTTTAAGTAAACACAGGTCATAATTTCACATATGAATGAAGACTTTCAAAATCAGGAAACTTGAATAAGAAAAAAACAGTTTCTGTAATTGCTAATGTCAAAGTCTTGCTGTTTTTAAGATTATTTTTAAAGTCTAGAAATGAGCCACTCGTCATTTTGTTGTATGCCATAGATCAGCCTGGTTTTTTTGGTGGGCAGAAAGCTGCTGTTGTAAGCTCTTCCTTCCAAAGAATTCTTACTCTCACTTTTACTCTGGGTGATGGGTCCTGGACAGAATAGCTTCACTTCCTTTAAAGGTAACTTCTTACTTTGTTTCTTCTTTACTACCTACTGTGTTGTCTTTTTCCTGTGTTGAAGTGAAAGATCTGCTCTATTCTTATAGTGTATTCTTTTAGGATTTTGTTTTGTTTTTTAGCAATCAATATAAATTCAGGATATTTTAGGTCTTTTGGTTTCCTATAAGCTTCTTCCATTGACAATTTCTCTCGTCACTGAAACATCGAATGTATTTTTACTGCTTCATCTAATACTCAGAAGCAAAGAACCTACCTGACCAGTATCAACTTGTATTTTAGTCCTGACACCTAAAGTCTTGCTGTCCTGTCCTCAATACTTAAAATTTCTGAGGTTTCAGTTTTGTTATGTGGTGACTCCATTGGCTCCTGTCTTCCTCAGTCTGCTTCTTCTTGGGCTAGCTTGGGAATTCTGTGCTATGGCAGTATGACTGGATGCAATTTGTAAGTCAGCCTGCACAGCCAAACCATGTGGCTTAAAGTAATTTTTATCCATCTTATTTTTTACTCTTAGGCAATGCGGAATATCAATCCCAGCACAGCAAATTCTCCAAAATGTCAGGTAGGCTCTTATCTGATGTTCTAGTGTTTGAAAAAAAAAGATATAAAATTAGAGAAGAGAGAAATTTATGCTCCGGGTACCCATCCTCATTGAAGATTAGCCCAGAGTACAAGTTTGAGCCATCTTTCTACCACGATACTTCAGTTAATATTGCTGTTCTCAGAAAGTCTATACTGTCTGCTCCCCATACCCCCAAGAGCATCTAACATTCATTTTCATTCAGTGAAGGTTTTTTTTATTTCACATTTGAAATGTATTATATTTCAGTTATACATCTTATCAGCTTCGAGGTGTGCCTAGTTTTTATTTGCATAGTTTAAAATAGTTTTTTAATGATTTATAGGGATTAATAATTTTAGTAATAACAAAAATAGTACAGATTATTTACTTGGGTAGGCTGATTTAGGAAATCTTATTAAGAGCCGTAATAATCCTAGAAGGATAGTAAAAAATCTCTCTAGTGGACATTTTAAAGAGAAAATATCAGAAGAGAGAACCATCTACCTGGAGAGTGCTTCAGGTTTCTTTGTTGGCTTCTATCGACATTTTCTCCTGGTAAACCTCCAGGAACACTGGTTATGAAGGCATCTTACTTAGGTAGAAAGATTGTGGCCATTTTTCTTTCTTACTCAAACACTTATGTGACTGGTGGGAAGAACCTCATTCTTGGAGCCAAAGAGATGCTGTGTGTTTAGGACCCACAAGATTTAATGGAATTAGGAGCTAGAGGATCATTGCACTTCTCGGGTGTACAGAAGTAACCATGAAACACCTTACATTCTATACAGCTCATTTTGCACTAGGCTAAATAAGTGCATTCTGTCAGAATCCATTGTGTAGAAGTGGGAGCTGGCAGAATTCCACTCATTTTGGATACTGTTAACTAGTCTATTGGAGCACTGTGCTGATAAAGCCAGATACAGTCTTCATAGGGACCAGTTAACTTTGTGAAAGGAAAAACTCTATTTTTCTTTATCTATCTCGTAATAGCCTCCATTTAATAAAAAGACCAAGTAAGGAAATAACTATAACAAGTCATCATCACTAAAGCAGAGTGCAGGCATTCTCATGATGAGGGGCGCTCATATCACATTTGTGAAGAGCAGCATAGCATTGGATCTTTATAAAGTAAAGGTACTTCTTTCTTTGCTTTTTCTCTAAAGTGTTTCTGAAAGAAGGCTTTTATTTATGATAAAAGAAATGGAAACTAAAATATGAGCATAAATTAAATGAGATTTGAATTCAAGTGAAAAGTCCTCCATGCTGGCTGCAGGTATAGTTGCCTTCATGAACTACCTCCTTTGCCATGAAGCGAGAAGAAATGGATGGTGCCCAACTACCATTACTGAACATTTTGATCAGGGACCCAGCAGATGGATCCTGATCAAAAGGAGGAAAATTGTAGAATAGAACTTCAAATACTTATGGAAACCGGACTTGGTGGATCCATTGAAACTGGGGGAACCCCTGAATGTATTGCCTAGAAACAGTTGTTAAGCCTTGAACTGAAACTATGCCATGAAGTAATTTTTTAAACAACAGTTTAGCTCAGTTAATAGAGAATGTGATCATTATACTCTTTTAAAGAATTATCTATATAATATCAAAATTGACAACAGTAACTCTAAAGCACAGTTGAGAACTTTGAAGGACAGAGTATAAGTTAATGGTGGTAAAATAATATGCGTAGAGATAGTAAGAATGGTGACACAGTGTGAAGTATGTAACCATTGTCACTGAACTGTACATGTTAAAAAAAAGAAAGTCCTCCATGCGAAAAGTGGTTGTTGAAATAATTTTTTTCCCTACCCAGATCTTATATTTGATAGGCAAATTAAATGCTTGTAGATATTTATCTCATACTTGAGTAGAAGTATAAATAGTTGTTATTAAAATTATTGTCAAAATTTCTTGGAAACTTTTTTGAAACAGTAAAATTTTAGAAAAGGTGAGGCTTATAATTCCAAGGTATTAAAATTTCAGTGTTGGTTTCCTAGATTTACCTAGACCAGAGCGAGAAACCTAAGATAGTTTTGGTTTTTTAAATCTATTTTGCATATGCTGGAAATTAAAATATTGATTTGCTATATAAGTTTTAACTGTCAACGTATTTACCTGGTACAATTGTGAAAATGTCAGTAAGCATATGACATTCAGTGTAAGGTTAAATGTAGAATAACTCAGATACATGGAATCTCATGGTGTTTGTATCAAACCATCATACGTTATATGTTTTTCTCATCGTAGATATTTTCTGGATGACCTTGAGGTAGATGTCAGGAAAGATTTCACAAAGAGGGTCATATATTAGGTGAAGATGGCTTTAAATAGGGTTTACCAGGATAGTCGAGATTGTGCCAGAAAGGTCTTTCCAGTCTCAAAGAACAGAATGTATAATGGAGAAGAAAGATTGATTCATTGAGTATTTATTGAGTGCCAGGCACTACTGTTCAAAATTTTTTTGTGGTGTGTTTTGTTTTCAACATTTGTAATAGAAATTAGTGCAGCTGAGTTAGCAAGCAACGTTAAATCAGTGTTATTATTTTATAAATTATGTACCTCATTGCTGTGATATATGGGAATCTACTGAACTTCAAAATGTTCATGAAATACAAGTTTCCAAAGTTATCTTAAGTACTTCCAACTAGGATTAATAAAACATGTCTATGTTGTAGGATTTTTTTTTTTTTTATTGTAGGATTCTATGGTTATGTAAACTAATGTTGCTATGATGAGGTTAATGGAAAATCCTAGGAGATGTGACTCCAGTGATATTGAAATGCAAAATTCTGAAAAATTGAGGCAGTTTTAAAGGCACTCATATATCTTCTCCGTTAAATATGGAATTATCACCTTAATTTGTTAGAATTTGTTTGTAAAACTTTAGAAGCATTTGTCCTTATAGAGCTTAAATTTTTATTTACATTTTGATTATTCATTGTTTTATGCTTCAAAAATTTCTATTTTTGGGAAAGAAACTTTGAAACTAGAAAAATCATCTTTGCTCTGTGAGACTATTGAGCATTTAATGCTCAGTTTTCTAGTCCTATCTCTTATGCTTCAATGCTCCTTTGTAAGTTGGAGAGACTTTTTGAGAGAGTGGGTTAGGAATGCATTTCAGCTTGTTTCAAGGGTCTTTTGAGGAAACACTTTTTTTTTTTTGTCTCCCCTGAGTGTGAATGTTTTTGTCTGTTCTTATACTTAAAAATATGGTTCTTAACATCTGTGAGATCAAGTCTGAACTTTGCAACCTGGCTCATGGTCTGTGGTCAGTAGCTGTCTCTTTCACTGACGCTAGTTAAGCCAGTACTTTTCTATCACCCGAGTGCCACTCTGTCTTGCTGCCATGATTCTGCTCATGAGCTTTTCCCCATAGTGAGTGTCTTGCTTTTCCCCCTTCCCTCCTACTAATTAAGCTTCTCCATTTCCTTTATTAGACTTAGCTCAAAACTCATCCCAAGTAGCCTCATCAGAATTCTCAAAACTATCCAGAAAATAGAAACAAGACTGCTGTAGATAGATGTTTTAATTCAGCAGCCAGTGTAATTCATTCAAAGTCGGGAGGCCAAAGGTATGATATGGGATTATTTAATTTTACTTCTGAGCAAATAATTGCTTCAATATTCATAGAAATTACAACTCTAAATATTTTGCAAATGATGAATATTGTATGGTTGACATTGTGGGTATTGATAAATGTACATCCAAGTCAGTTACTGGTTTAATGAGTGATAAAGCCTACGGTGTTGATGTTATTTAGGCTATTGCACTACACCATTAGCCCCGCTGGTGAAAAGGTTGGTTCAGATGTCCGTAGTTTTAGTCACATAAAGCAAAATAATACCACCATTCCAACTATGGGAAAGCATTTACAGTAATTGCCAACAAACTTCCCCCCTCCCCACCCCCCGAATTTAGAAATAGCAAAGAGCTTGAGTTTTGGGGGGTTTTTTTGGTTTTTTGTCCAAACTGTCTTTCTTGTTATCATACAATAGAAAAGTTGTTTCTGTTAACACTTGTTCCAAGATTATTTCTCTTTGCATTCCTAGTATTGAATAAATCATACATTTATTTGGATTTTTCAATGAACCTATTATATTTCCCTTTTAATCAATATGTAGAGAACTTTGTCTAAAAAGGAGGAGACTTAGCCTCATACTTGGCATCCTCTAATAGTTTATCTCGTTTGTTTTATTGATTAAAATCACCTCTTCCTTATTTGAGTGGTACCACAATAATTTTATTACTTAAATTCCAAAGATTTGTAAAAGGAGTATTGAGTTGCAGGATTGAGCTGGGAACACCAAATCGCAACTCTGTTTTGACTGGTACTTCCAGAGTTTAGGATTATTGTATAGTTGTCATAATTATCCCTAAACCCATATGTATACATTTTTCCTAGTCGAAAGTTGGTCTGAAGTTGAAGACACTTTAGTAAATGGCAGAAACATTAAAAAACAAAGTGTTCCAAGCATTGGCTGAATGTTTTCATAACTTTATAGATAACAAGGTAATATGTGACTGATTAAGGCTGTGCTGGGATATGGGGTATGGTGAGGCCTATCTTGAACAGAAGAAACGGCTTTTCTGTTTTTAGACTTATCGACATAAACTGCCATCCTTAGGACAAACTATAAGATATATATTTTTAGAGTTATTCTCTATTTCTAAATTTGAGTTTTCACTTCACTAAACTAACCTTCCTTGAACAAGTTGATTATAAAAAAAAGTTCCTTCATTGAGAATATTGACACTTTGTGAAAAATGTAACCAATGTCACTGAACAATTTATATAGAAATTGTTAAATGGGAACCTAATTTGCTGTGTGAGCCTTTGGCGAAAACACTATAAAATGTTGTTTTAGAAAAAAAAATACCTTCACTTGCGTGCTATATATATTCAAAAATGAATACACTCTTAATATAACTCAGGATTTGCTAAAGACAAAATGGCTTTAAGAAAGTATTTAAAATTTTTAAAAAAGTAATTAAATTTGACT